TTTGGTAGAGAAGATCGGACAGATTTCGCCAAGGCAAGCTGGGCAGTCGCCTATTGCTCCTATTCCAGATAACCCACTGTACCCTGTCTGAAAGGAAGTAACGCTAGAGTAGACTCGCGAAAAGTGTATAAGACACTTTTAAGATCAACTAAATAGCTAAGCCCAAGGGAAGTCGTTCGGGGAGGCCCTCCCTAATTCCACAAGGGTGAGAAGAAACACACACGATAACGAAACGTTGAATCATGTAGAACTCGTAGGGTAAATGCAAAGCAATTTATAGTAAGAATATGCAGTAAGCTAAGCGAAGAGGTAAGCAAGGTTAGACTATACTACAACTACTAAACGTGTTATTTCTACTACTATATACAAAAAAAAAATTAAAACATCTACAATCAACAATTACTTCAAACAATATGAAAAAATAAGCATGCAAAATAAAAACCAAGTCAAATTCACTACAAGAAACTACAAAAAAAACATGCAAAATAAAAATTTAATTTGAATAAAATCAACTTAATCAACTTCTACTAGATAGAGCATGTAAGATAGAGAACTATTTCAACTACGGGGTCATCATTGTCTTCTCCAACGTCGATCTGAAACAGATACGGTGGCAAACAGATTAATAAAGAGCAATTAAAATTAATTATATCAAGTATTCACACCTTAATTAACTGTAGACTGTAATGTTCCAAAGTTTGCAAGTGTGAAAGGCAAATCAAATCCAGGAATAATGCCAATGCAGAAAATTCCTTATTTCAGTGGAAATCAAATAAACATCCACTTGCTCTCACTCATCAATTCGAAACCAAGTGCATAATGATGCAAAGCGAAGACGAAAACAGCAAGTCAAGAATGTAGTTCACCAAAGACCACACCCATGTAGACAATGGTTGTTTCAGTACAACCAAAATGAACTTCAACTCCCTCTCATTTGTTAAACGATCTGTAGAAATGGACAAAAAAACATATTAATTACACTATTAATTAAGGAAGAGATCAAACACATCCAAAATTAAGTAAAACAGCTGAACTATAAAATCGCGACAAGCGTCAAGTTCGCATGACAGACCAAATTTGACATATAAATGTGAAATAATCATAGATTCTCATAATATTAATTTATAATGTAGACAGTAGATAATTATTAAGATTCTACAGATGCACCAGTGAATTTAAACCATAGATAAATGTTAAACGACACACCATAGATGCCTTGGACCATAGATATTTAAAATACTATACATATGTCACAACATTAATATAGACTCTGGCCGATAGGTAACAGTTTTAAAGAAATGCTACTTTAGATTAATAATAAAANTAAATATGCCAATTTTTATACATTTCTAGGCATGTAAATATTTATATAGTCATTCTTAAAGAATATTCAAAGGTGAAACTAATGAAAAATACATAAAAACATTGAGAAAGTTATATAAATATCGCCGCAAATTTTTTATGGGGTTTTACTCAGGTGACCACCCTCTTTCGATCCTCCCTACCCTCTTTCGATCCCCGCTACCTCCACTCCCATCTAACCCCTATAACTTTTTATGGGGGTGAGACCGCCACGAACTTTTTATGGTGCAGTGGTGGGGGAGACCTCCTCTTTCGATCCCACCCACTCCCACCCCCTTCGGGGGTGAGGGCCATCATCTAGACATTTACCTCAATATCAATCATTTTATATCAAAATATGTACAACCTCATTTTGTTTCTGATCTTTTATATATATTATATATTATAAAGAATTTCGTAGTTCCTTTCTAAAAATAGTAGTTCCTTGCTAAAGATACGATAAGTGGTGATTTGACAGGCGCTGATATCAATTTGGAATTTCAAAATTCCATGAATAATGACATTGAACGATATCGATCCGACATTTTACATTATCGATTTCCAAGGTTTAGAAATTTTTGGGCTCTCTTCAGTTAAAGAATTAGAGGGCATACATGGAATATCTCTTTGTCCCCTTTTTAAGCTTTCTAATACCTTCAATGGCCAACGTGAGCAACTTTTATTCATCGTTTTATATAATGTTTGATCGGTGATATTAGCAAAATTTTTAACGACAAAAAAGTATTTTGCATTTTACAAATAGAATAAATAAATACGTTTGGAAAAGTATTTTAAATAAAATATAAAATGCTTTTCTCAAAAAAGTATTTCAAATAAATCACTTCTCTGTATATAACGTACAAAACCATATACATATGTATATGTATTACAAACGATTATCAAGTATATTATACATTGTTTATACTTGCTATATACAGTAATTTTACAGAACATTTTGCAGGTCTGTTTACGCAAACTTAATCAGTTGTGTAAATATTTTTGGAGCAAATTAGATAATCACAGGCGCATTCTATTCACGTTCCACATAAGACCCCTTCCTGTACAGCGGCAATATTAGTATTTGTAGGTACAAATGTTTCCTACAAAAAATGTCTGAACTTTTTTATGCGTTTCTCAAAATTATCTGTGACTGTACAGGATGTTCAGTTTTCTCTGGCAGATACCCAATTTTGTATTTTTTTGTGGTAAAATCTGTAAGGGTTGAAATTAAACTCAACAGTACAAGGCCCAAAACGAACTACACTATATATTCTTTTTACAGTCCATACATCGATCCTCTAAATACAACCTCCTGTCGTCATGTCTTAGCATACATTTATTCAGGTTGTCATCCTGTTGCCCATTTATCCACACCGCTCGTGTTGGCCTTCCTAAGGCGCCTTTCC